TCTATATGAGGCTGTTGTTGCTCTCCCTCATGTATGACAACAGGTTCTAGGGGATCCTGAAGGACAGGTTCCCCATGTTCATTTATAGTTGCCACAGGAGAACTAACAACAGATGTTGTTACTACAGTGTCTTTCACTGTTGGTACAGCAACAACAGGTAGTGTGAAGAATGACTCCTGAACCATAGGATTGGGCACGTATACCTGCTTCTCTTCAAAACTAATTTCTCGCGCTACCATGCTCCCTCTGATCATATCATCCTCCAAGAAGACAGTATGTCTTATTTCTACAAACTTTATTTGTCTGTTAAGACAATAAAAGCGATAACCTTTTGACTTTTCTGGATAGCCAGTGAAATAGCAACTGACTGTCTAGGAGTCTAGCTTTCCTATGTTTGGGTTAAAAACTTTTGTCTCAGCTGGACAACCCACACACGTAAATAATTAAGTGAGGGTTCCTTTCCGGTCCACAACTCATACGGTGTTTTGGGCACCGACTTGCTTGTCACTCGATTAAGTATATGAATGGCAGTTTTTAACGCCTTCATCCATAAACTTATCGGTAGGGTAGAGTAACTTTTCATGCTTCTCACCATATCCATTAAGGTACGGTTACGTCTTTCAGCTACTCCATTCTGCTGAGGCTCGCCCGGTGTAGAATACTGGGCTACTATGCCATTTTTCTAAAAGAACCTTATAAAGGGTCTAGGAACTTGGCCATATGGGGTATGTCGACCGTAGTACTCTCCCCCACGGTCGGACCTTACTACCTTAATCTTTAAGTTGTGCTGATTTTCTACTTCAGCTTTAAATATCTTAAATTTATCCAATGCTTCCGATCTTTCCTTAATTAGATAAATATAGCCAAAACGAGAACAATCATCTATTAATGTTATAAATGAATCATAACCATCCACACTCTTCATAGGAAAAGGATCACAGATGTCTGTGTGAACTATTTCTAAAATTCCTGCACTTCGTTTGGCATCTTTCTTTATTTTCTTAACGTACTTTCCTTTTATGCAATCTATTCATTGTTCTAAATCTAAAAATTCTAAAGGTGGAAGAATTGATTTCTTAATCAATCGCTCTATTCCCCCCGCGAAATATGGCCTAAACGACAGTGCCATAATTTTGAAGATACATCATGCACCCTCTTCCGCTTATTTATTGCATTCATAGACGAGAAAACATTCTCATTCTTAGTGCTCACATCATTCACATTCTTAGAAAGTGATAATAAATAAATCTTATCTTGTCGGAAGACAAGACCAACACACTTATTATTAATCACAATCCTACATTTGTCATTACCAAAATGACAATCATATCCATCACCATCAAGTCATGAGACACTTATCAAGTTTCTACGCAAAGAGGGTACATAAAGAATATCTGAAAGCTATAGTCTAAAGCCATCATCTAATTCTAGAGAGAGATCTTCAATGGCTTCAACTTCAGCTTTAATTCCATTTGCTACTTTAATCCTTCTTTCTCCTCTTTGTAGGGTTCTCCTCGTACGGAATCCCTGTAATGAATTTGCAACATAAACAGTTGCACCTGAATCAATCCACAAAGTAGATTTTGCATAACTTAAATGCAAGGATTCATCTATGAATGTAATAAAATCCTCATCTCTCTTCAAAAGGCTCTTCAGGAAGTCTGGACAGTCCCTTTGGTAATGTCCATGCTTCTTACACTATTTACATTGATCCTTCTCAATTTGAGCATTGTTGTTCTTCTGATGGTGGTTATTCTGAGGAGCTTTCCCTTGAGGTTTAGCATTTTTATTGAAATTCTTCTTTTTATTGTCCTTCACAAGGTTAGCAGAGTCACCCTGTAAGGATTTTAGCCTTTCCTCCTCTTGAACACACATTGCGATGCGCTTCTCTATATTCTACTTATCGGGCTGCATGTTGTAATTAATAACAAAAATTTCATATTCTTTGGCAAGGAAGCAAAAACCAAATGAATCAGGAACTCATCCTTGAGCCCCAAATTCATTGGCTTCAGCTTCGAAGCCGTGTTGCTCATCTTTAGTATGTGCTCTCTAATACTACCAACAGTATACTTCTCATTGAATAATTTATTGATCAAAGTACTGGCATAAGCATTTGAAGAGCCAGTGAACTGACTCTCCACCTTCTTAAGATACTATGTGGTGGTATCACAATCTAGAATAGACCCTCTTATTGCATCTGAAATTGTAGACTTAGCTACCATCAAGCACTTGCGGTTTGAAATGTCCCATTTCTTGCGTTCGAGATCATACTTCATCCGCACTTCTGTATGATCTCGCTGCTGAGCAGTGAAATTAGCATCAGTCTCATTATCTTCCCTCACCGGGTCCACTGGCTCAATCGGACATGGGGAGATAAGCGCTAGGTCATTTTCAGACAGCACAAGTGCTAGTTCATACTTCTCTCGCCATCCCCTGTAGTTGCCTCCTTTAAGAGGCGGTATGTGCGAGATAAAAGCCATTGGGTTGAGTCCTGAAAAATACCGTCAGAGATAGTGAGAAAAATATGACATAATAATTGCATGCCTAAATTTAACGTGGGTCCAAATTAAAACATACAACATTCTTATACACTAATTCTATGTCACCGTTGGGCAGAAATAAAATTAATACATGGGAAACTTATAAATAAACATTATAATATTGCTATTATCAATGTTGGTCAGAAAAATAACAATATTATAATTTACTGACTAAAAATGACTACTCTTCAAATTAAATTCTACTGTTGGTTCGAATTTAATTAGAAGATAATAAACTTGAACATTGCAGCGGAAACATGAAAAAAATATTTATCTACTTTTCAGAAGCATTTAACTGTACTAATCTACTATTTGAAAAAAATCATCTCGTTGGTTCAAATTTTGACAGAGATCGAAACTGGACAAAAAATCATCAAAATTTGCTTCTGAAAATGAATAAAACAATCACTCAGTTTCTACTGTTCATTTGGCCCAGCCCGTTGAAACAGTGCTCGCCCTAGCGACGAAATGCCACCCACGTGCCCGCGCTCGCGGCCCAAAACTCGGCGCACGCTCGCTCTCCCACGCCTAGGCCACAACCTAGGCCTAGGCTGGGATTTTCCTTTCCCGCCTAGGCTGTATCTGGCCCGATGGCTCTCAATCGTTCATCGCGATCGGACGGTTGTCCGTCGTTCACGGCGGATATAAAAACGGCGACAACGGCCGCGCACCTGAACCCTAGGTCATTCTTCTCATTCTCTTCTCTCTCTTCGGCATGGCGTTGGCTCTCTCTCCCACTCTCACTCCGAACCACGATGGCCCGAGAGAGAAAGCGTGGTGGCGCCGCCGTGGCGCCCTTCGTCGGTGCACGCGTGCTGCTGGATCCGCGCGCGGCGCCGTCGAGCGGCACCGCGGTGGTGCTCTTTGCGCCCCACATGCGCTGTGGTGGAGACTTTCCCTAAACTCTAGATCTGACCGGCACCGCCGCAGGTCCCCTTGCTGGAGCGCGCGCTCCCCAGTGGGTGAGCGGGCCGCCATCGAGCGGTCCTGTGACGGTGCCCTCAGCCGGGTTCGCGTGCAAGGCGGCGAGCGTGGCTCGGCTTCTCCCCGCGCGCCGGCGAGACGGCGGTGGAGCTCCTTCCCGTGCGACGGCAGGATACAACCCACGCGACGGCGGTGATGACGTCGCGGCGGAGAGTCCGGGTAGGTCCTCCTCTCCTTCGTCCGATCCGTTTCTAGGGTTAGGGTTAGGGTTGGCTACTGTTCTTCTTCTCCGAGTTATTTACGCGGGTTAGGGTTAGAGTTCCTTTTCGAAATCGAGACCCTTTCTTTCTCCTTTTCTTCATCCGATTAGGGTTTAGGGTTCAGATCGAACCCTTTGCTTAGATCCGAATCGGATCTCTCACCTCCTTCTAATTGCTGCTACTCGATTTTCTACCCCGATAAGCTAGATCTACGCCTAGTTAGGCGACTGATACCTTTGATAGAAGATTACAGGATCACTAGCCATAAATCTAGCATACCTACTGACATTTGATGAAGTGTAAACCCTAAAACATGTACTAGTACGGGATTAACAGATAGAGTGAGAAAGAGATAGGGATTGAGGAGGTGCAAACCATCGGTCGCCTTCGTAGAAGACGAGCTGGCCATGGGGTTGCTTGACGGTGGCGCGGTGAAACCCGATGGTGAAGGCGCTGTTGTGGTGGCGGCGGTGCAGAGACGACAGTGGCCGGTGGCGGTCTTCCCGTCGCTGGCAGCACCCCCTCTTAGATCGGTTAGGGTTTAGGGACTGTAGGTGGGGGTCTGGCAGCTCAGATGAACCTCGTGCCTTATGCCCCGACCCTCACCTTCCTTTTTATGGCGCTGTGTGACGGGGGCCACCAATCATAGAATGGTTGGACGTCCCCGATAAGGGCGCGAATTCAAGAGCCCAATTGATTGGAGATCATCTAACATTGTAATCTTAGCATGACTGCATCACCAAACGGGCAGAGTACTGCATTTTCACATATAATGTGCATGTATGGTGAGTGGGACTGGGGAGTGCCACTCTTTCAGTTGTTGAGCATACCTATATAGGGCGTGTTTGGGACTGCTCCGCTCCACGTTTTTTAGCTCCGCTCCACGTTTTTTAGTCAAACGGTTTCAGCTCCACGCACTCTGCTCCAGGAAAAAGGGTGGAGTTGTGAGAGCACCTAAAGAGGTACTCCACAAACTCCAGTTTTTTGTGGAGCTGCTCCACGGTGGAGTTTGTGGAGCAGAGTTTGTGGAGCAGTCCCAAACACCCCCATAGTATATGACACTGTATCGCGAACACCGAACAGTGAACGGACCCGGCCATTCCGCCATTGGGCGGCGTTTCTTGGTATGCCGCCGGACTTGAAACGTCGAAAGCCGCCGCCGGCGGCGAGGAAGGGAACTGACCTGTCTGAACTCTGAAGTGTCGATGCCTCCAAGTTCTTCAGGCTTGTTTGGTGTTGCTGTGCAAACTGACGAAATCTCGGCCGTCCCTACCTGATGAACGGCTCAGAGACCGCCGAGATTAAAGGGAAAGGCACAGCGCCGTTGGAGCATCAGATTTCCAGACCGCGCGGCGGCCGTTCGAACTTCGAACTGCCCTCCTTCCTATGCATGCTCCCTCCCGCCGCCAAAGCCGCCATTCGCGCCACGGCGGGCTCGCCGCGGGCCGTACGCCGCGTTCACGCGCGTCTCCTAAAGGAGGGGTTCGCCGACCTCCCCTCCGCGCCGGCGCTCCTTGTGTCCGCCTACGCCAGGTCGTGCCTCCTCCCCGACGCCCGCCGCGCGTTCGACGATGCGCCGCGCCGGGACCTCCACCTCTACTCAGCGCTCCTCGCCGCCGTCTCCCGCTCCCCCACCCCCGCGCTCGCGCTCCCGCTCCTCCGCCGCATGCTCTCAGACGACGCGCTCCGCCCGGACCACTTCGTCATTGCCTCTCTCGCCAGCACCGCCGCCAGGCTGCGCAGCCTCCGCCTCGGCAGGCAGCTCCACGCCCACTTTGTCGCCTCCCCGTACAGCGCCGACGACGTCGTCAAGTCGTCGCTTGTCGACATGTACTGCAAGTGTGGCGTCCCTCAGGATGCGCGGAAGGTGTTCGATAGTATCGGTGTCAAGAACAGTGTCGTGTGGACTGCGCTGGTTTCCGGGTACGCGTCCAACGGCTGCACCGGCGAGGCGATCGACCTCTTCCAGAGCATGCCTGCACGCAGCCTCTTCACGTGGACTGCGCTCATCTCTGGGTTTGTCAAGGCCGGAAACAATACTGGCGCCGTGGGGCTGTTTGTTGAGATGAGGCGGGATGGTGTCAGGATTGATGACGCATTCGTGCTGGCGACTGTCGTCGGTGGCGCCGCAGACCTGGCTGCGCTTGTGCTGGGAAGACAGCTGCATGGTTTTGCATTGAAGCTTGGCTTCCTGTCCAGTATGATTGTTGGGAACGCACTGGTTGACATGTACTCGAAATGCAGTGACATACACTCTGCTAGGGAAGTGTTTGAGGGGATTACAGTCCGTGATGTCATCTCGTGGACAACAATTCTTGTTGGAGAGGCACAGCACGGTCGAGCTGAGAAGGTATTGGCTCTTTACAACAGGATGCTTCTTGCAGGGATGAAGCCCAATGAGGTGACATTTGTTGGGTTGATCTATGCTTGCAGTCATGCTGGTCTTGTTCAGAAAGGGCGGCAGATATTTTATTCAATGAAGCGGGAATATGGCGTCAAGCCTGGACTGCAACACTATACCTGCTATCTGGACCTTCTTAGTCGCTCGGGCTATTTATCAGAAGCTGAAGAACTCCTCGCTACAATGCCATATGAGCCTGATGAAGCTAGTTGGGGCGCCCTATTGAGTGCCTGTAAGAAGCACAACGATACTCAGATGTGTCTCAGGGTCGCTGATAATTTACTAGAGCTGAGACCAAAAGATCCTTCAACATATATCTTGTTATCTAATGTCTATGCAGTTAACTGCAAGTGGGATTCCGTGGCCAAGGTAAGAAAAATCATGGCTGAGATGGAGATAAGAAAAGAGCCAGGGTATAGCTGGATTGAAGCTGGGAAGGAATCTCGTATGTTTCATGCTGGGGAGGTTCCGCTTGATGTTGGAGAAGAAATTACTGGTTTTCTTGAGGAATTGGTCTCAGAGATGCGCAAGAGGGGTTATGTCCCTGATACTAGCTCTGTGATGCATGACTTGGAAGAGCACGAAAAGGAGCAGCATCTGTTCTTGCACAGCGAGAGGCTGGCTGTAGCTTTTGGAATACTCAAGTCCCCTCCAGGATCAGTTATTCGGGTTGTAAAGAATCTTCGTGTCTGCGGGGACTGTCACACAGTAATGAAGTTCATCAGTGAGATTGCACAGAGGAAGATCATCGTGAGAGATGCTAGTCGTTTCCACCATTTTGAGGATGGTAACTGCTCTTGTAGTGAATTCTGGTAGCTGATCTGCTGATGTTCAGTTGTATTTAGTCTCAGGTATGGTGGAACCTCTTACCTTGCTTTGGTGGCATACTTCTCTGGTAGATCCATATGGAAAAGCAAAGAAACACAAAAACAAAAGAATTTTCAATCTTTCGGATGTCTACTGTTTCTATTGATTGATTGTATGAAGAACTAACTTGTCAAAAACACAAACCTGAAATAATCTTTAGCGCTAAAATCTTATTTTAGTTTCCAAATACTTCATATGACTTCCACAGCCTAAGTAAAAAATGTTAGGTATCCAAATGAACAGTCTTTCCTTTCTCTGTCTTCCGAAACACCAAACAATGAAGCCATGTTCCTGTTTTGTTCAGATTCACTACCTAGCATTCAGCACGTGGGCCAGTGAGGCTCATGGGGGCGGGGCAGGCGGGGGGCAGGGCGGCGGCTAGAGATAGAAGATAAAGCGAATGAGCTCCTCCTACCTTTTTTTTTTTGGATCTGCCCCATTTTTAGGACCAGCAACATTGACAAACTAGTGGACTTTTGAATTTTCATATGTTGTGGCTATGGCACAAATAATCTTCAATGTTTTCATTGTAGTTTCTGGATGCGATAAAGCAAACAACTGATGGCATGCTTTGTGTTTGCAGTATTCCTATGTACATTACACCATTTGATTATTCATCAGAGCCTCAATTTTTATCATCCTTTACTCCTTTAGCATTTGTAGTTTTTATGATCTGTTTGGTACTTGTGTTTCTATAAGATGGGATTGCTGGGTCTAAAATGACATGTATTTATTTATTTGAATTTATCACATAATGTTTGGCAGTCTAGCTGAGATTCCATTATACCTGATCGGCTAGCAAGGCTTGCCATGTGCTTCTCAGGCTGTATGGTGATGCTATTTAATTCCTCACTATAGTTTCTGTCATGCAGCATACATTGTCATGCATTCCAATGCTTATGTTGTTGCTACTCCACTTCTGTTTGTACAATATTGAAACGGTGTAAGAGATTATCATTATCTTGCAAAACACATAAGGCTCTGTTTGGATGCAAAGTATTTTTGGAGTTTTAGAAAAATACCATGGTTTTGTGAAATACTTTGGTTTTAGAGTGATATGAAGTGTTTGGATTCAACAAACTTTATAGTTTTGAATACCATGGTATTGCTAAAACAGTAGTCTTTTTGGAGTTTTAAAAACTCTACTCTAGGCCTCTTTTTTCTAAACCATGGTTTTGCACATCAGTGGGTTCTAAAACTAAAGTTTTTCATTTTTTTTTAAAACTATAGTTTCTATACTAAGGTTTTTTAATACTACAACATCGAAACTCGGTCTTAGGGCCTATTTGATAGAGCTCCTCTGCTCTTGATTCTCTATGTGAAATGATTCTCTAGGATAAACAATGGGTGAAAAGTGATTTTGTACAAGTGAATCAGAAGAAGCTATCTTTTTTTTTTGCTCCTAGCCTTCTAGTTCATTTCAAAGAATCATCAACATAGAATCACTTCTCTATCAAATGCTACTGTTTGGCAGAGCTCTTTTCTGGATGCTGTAAGATAATCTGTTGCCCTTGATTGGTCTTTTGCTGCAGCAGAGGGTTGGCACTATGGTCAGCTCTTGCTGTACCTTTCGTACTATTGGAAGTATGGCAATAGGCCAATATATGGTAGTGGCATACATCAGCCATGTACAGTGTAGTTGGGCTGAGGTCAGCCATACTTTAGTGTACCTTATAGAGGTACTAGACTTGTATATATACTAAGGCATTGCAATAGAGCAAAGTAGTTCAGTTTGCAACACATTCAGAGTTTCAGTTTTGAAGCTGTGAGCTGTGTGTGTGCTCTGTTCTCAGAGTTCTACTTAGCCGTGAGTGAGTGTGTGAGGGTGTTGGTAAGCTAATCACTCACATGTGCAGGGAGATCGAGGGCCAACAGATTCAACCTGTGTCAAACAGGCCCTAATTCTTAGGAAAGATAGAATTGCGGATATACTAGTAGTACATAGGACAAATATTTGGCCATCGATCTATGTACAATTAATAGCCTTTGGCGAAGTAATTGTCATTTTTCTCAATCATTATCCTTTTGTTAAGCAGTTTTATTGACCAGTGATCAAATCATGCTGAGACCTCGATATGAGCTCAGGAGACTGATTTATGCAAGTGTATTGAGACGCATAAGCGAACAGAACTGTTTCTTTCGTTTCTTATTTGTCTCTTGAATACTTCTGTACTTTTGAACTTTGCTTTTGTCTCCTTAATTTAATTTAAGCTGTAGGGGCCTCGGCCCCTCCAGATTCCTAGAAAATATGGGTATATAATGCTGATATCAAAATTTCTTGAATGTCTAATCCTGAGTATCTAATGACTCACTGCCTGAAAGTGAATCTGACATTATGTAACCTGCAGAAATAGGAGAGCAGTTGTGACAAAGAAGTCCGCCGCTGTACTGGGTGGGCAAGGATTTGCATGTGCGAGCACTTCTGTTTTTCTTTTTCCATGCGTGCATGTGTAACTTGTTGTATATAACATCATTCTTGAATTGTACAAGCATCGCCAGCAGTAGCTTCTAAATTAGAGCCCTTGCATAAAATCTAAGGAAAAAATCTAAATAACCCCCTGACGTATCGTTGGTGTTCTACTTAACCCCCAATCTATAAAACTGGATATCCAACGTATTAAACTTCGCAAAACCATTCATTTTACCCCCTAGGCGGTTTTGGGCACCTGGTTTTGCCCAGGTGGCGCTCCAAGTTGGCAGACAGTGACACGGTGGCTGCCGGGCCCAGCTGTCATCCCCCACCTCTAGCTCCATCTCCCACCTGTTCGTGGCGTTCAAGGTGGCGCCTGCGGCGGCCTGCGAGTGGGCTGCGTGGGGCCTGAACCTGACCGGCAAGGGCATGCAGTGGCGAAGCCAGCTCAAAACTAACCCTGGTGCACTCTCTATCAAATATTAAGGAATCTATACAATTACAAAGGAAATACATGGAAAAGATGAGGTACACATCAGTAATTTTTTGTTTTACCACGGTGCACGTGCATCAGGGAAAGCCAACGTGGCTTCTGGTGTCGGCGGGGTTCGGGTCCGGGCCTGCGGCGCCCTCCGTGCGGCCCTGTCCTTCCACCGCTCGCTCCTCGCGCCATGTGAAGCAGCACCACTCTGCACCGTCGGCAACCTCGCGGACCGCCACTTCGTCCCCGTGAGCCGCGTGTCAGCCCAGCCAGACAAAGCTGCCGTCAACCGCATGTACCGCGTGCTCGCCGCCGACGCAAAGCTTCAAGCCTTGGCGGGGTCCGGGCGCACGAAGCTAGAGGCGTTCATGGCGCACCTGTCTGGGCATTGGGCTGTCTGGCCGGCCAGGCCCATCAGGCCTTAGCCTTATGTAGAGCAGAAGCAGAGCTCATGTCTTGTCTTCAAGATCCGGCGACGGGCGCTCCAAATCGTGGCGGCGGCGGCGGCGCTCCAAATCGGACCTCGTCGGCGGCGCTCCAACTCACGGCCTCGCAGTAGCCCGAGCCCACGGTGGTGAGGGCTATGGCAGAACCGTCCGAAATATCACACCTTCGGAGGCGCTTGTTTTTCACTAGACACTAAGCACCGCGAAAGTAAGCTATATCGGACGGTTCCGTCGAGCACACCACAAGGGAGAACTCGAACCATCCACGTTTTTCCTTCAGGATCCAATAATGAGAATGAGTTTACACTACTTAGTCCATTTCATACAACAAGAGTTCTCAGAAATACATTATTACAATACCCAGTTTAGAGTGCGGAATTTAAACAGCGGAATTACAATAAACATCTAACGATAAGATACAAGGATCCGTCTGTGCCCATCAGAAGAATCCTCCACACAACAGCTACTCCTCAAGCTGCACCTGCAACAGGGGTAAATAAACCCTGAGTACACAATATACTCGCAAGACTTACCCGACTAGTGGGAATAATTTCCCTACTCCAAAGGATATGATAAGCTTTATGGTTTGCTAGGTTTCCTTTTTACAAAAAGCATTACTAGTAGTGAATCCTTATGTATGTGTTTTATTGGCAGTCATGATAAGTTCATTGGCTACCCATTCTATGTAAGCATCTATTCTACTTTTAAGCAAGAGTTGAGCAATTAATTCCATTCATCCCCTTTCATCTTCTAGTTCTTACTATGGTGCTAGATCGTAGACAAGTCGTACCGTATTACATGGCGATTTACGAACCAATGTAGTTCAGCTGGGTATCCCAAAACACACGCCCCGCTTGTACCCCAGGCACAAGCAGGACCAACCCACCACTCTCCTATCAAGGGTTCCAGGTCCCCGTCCAAACTTGGACTTCAAGCCCTCACACCTGAGTCCCGGACTCAGTGTGGTGCTTAGACCTCCACCATCCCTGCCTCCAATCAGTCGGTTCAAAAAGAGCCAAAACCCACGACAAGAGAGCAATGAGCCTTCCCACTTTCATAAGCAAATATGTCCTCACGATAATAAATCTGTGACCTGACTAGAATCCAAGTATGTGCTCAGGATAATAAGTCTGTGACCTGACTAGAATCTAATGCAACGGCCGGTCCTTAACCGACACGGACAGGAAAAATAGTGTAACCAAGCTATGTCCCATTGGCCGCGGGACACAACCTGTTACACCCACCAATACCCGTACCATATCCTTGCCCGGTCTCCATTTCCTTTCACCATTTTATAATGAAAGTAATAATAATAATCACCTATTGTGAGTAACAGCAGGTTACTCACGCTACCGAAAAACCTAAGCATAGCAGCTACTCGACCTATGCTAGTAGGACTCATGGGTAGGTATATCTATGCATGTAGTTTCAACAATAAGCCTGTAACGTAAATGCACATCACATATATATATCTAGTGATTATTCAAAATAAGGGTTATGCATTGGGGCTTGCCTTGGGTAGGCGCGGTGTCAGCTCAGTTAGTCAATGGCGGCTCCGGGACCTCCTCCTGCACGAGGATCTCCTCCTTGTACTCCTCGATCACCTCCTTGA